CCCAGGTGCTTGTGAGGCTGCGCCTTCAGGTACAGCGTCTACTGCGGCACTGCACACCTTCACCCTGGACTCAGGTGCTTCCCGCTGTTTCTTTCGCGACCGCACTGCCCTCGAGCAGCTTCCTAGACCGGTTGCTGTCTCCCTGGCTGACCCCTCCGGGGGTCCGGTTCTTGCGACCTCCTCCACTGTCCTCCCGTGTCCTGCGGTCCCGTCTGGCACCCTGTCAGGTCTTTACCTCCCCTCGTTCTCTACGAACTTGGTGGCGGGCTCTGCTCTACAGGACGGGGGTGTTCACCAGTTCACCCCTGCCTATGAGCGTGTGACCCACTGTACGTGTGCCCGGACGGGTCGCCACCTTGCTACCTTCACTAGGGAGCCGGGGTCGGACTTGTACACACTGACCACTGAGTCCCCTCAGGTCGCTGCGTCTGCGTCTGCGTCAGGTCAGCTGTCGGCCCCCTGCTTGTGTCGCTCCCTGTCCCACCAGACTGTCCTCTGGCACCACCGCCTTGGTCACCCGTCAGTGCAGCGCCTTCGCGGCATGCACCGTCGCCTCCTTGTCTCTGGTCTTCCCCGGGTTCTCCCTCCCCTCCCACCCTCGCCTGCGCCTCCCTGTCTTCCCTGTGTCGAGGGGCGGCAGCGCGCCGCTCCTCACTCCTCCGAGTTTCCCCCGACAGAGGCTCCTCTGCAGACACTCCACATGGACGTGTGGGGCCCCGCCCGCGTCCGTGGACAGGGCGGGGAGCGCTACTTTCTGCTGGTAGTTGACGACTACACGCGTTACACCACGGTCTTCCCCTTGCGCACCAAGGGTGAGGTCCCTGATGTCTTGATCCCTTGGATCCGCGCTACCCGTCTCCAGCTGGAGAGGCGCTTTCGCTCGGACCTTCCAGTCCTGCGACTGCACTCTGATAGAGGTGGTGAGTTTTCCTCCGACCTCTTGAGAGCCTTCTGTCAGGGGGAGGGCATTGAGCAGACGTTCACGCTTCCGGCCTCTCCGCAGTAGAATGGGGTTGCTGAGCGCCGCATTGGCCTGGTCATGGAGGTCGCTCGTACCTCCTTGGTCCATGCGGCTGCCCCCCACTTTCTGTGGCCGTTTGCGGTACGGTACGCCGCGCATCAGCTCAACCTTTGGCCCCGTGTCTCTGACCCGGACACCTCGCCGACACTGCGTTGGACGGGAGAGGTTGGCGATGCGTCGGTGTTTCGAGTCTGGGGATCTCGTGCCTTTGTCCGCGATGCGTCCGCGGACAAGCTCTCCTCCCGTACCCTCCCCTGTGTCTTCCTTGGCTTTGTCCCTGACGCGTCTGGCTGGCAGTTTTACCACCCTGCCTCGCGCCGTGTCTTCCCTTCTCAGGACGTCACGTTTGACGAGTCGGTCCCCTTCTACCGTCTCTTCCCCTACCGCACTGCCCCGCTCCCCCCTCCGCCGCTCTTCCTCACTCCAGGTGCTGCTGTGGTAGACCCCCTGCCTCCCCAGGGTCCTGCTCCCTCAGGTGTTTCCCAGGTAGACCCGGTCGAGCCTGTCGAGGTAGCTGTCGACTCTGGTCCTGCGCGAGGTACTGAGCCTGAGCGTGCCGAGCCTGGTGGTGCTGGGTCTGGTGGTACCGAGACTGGGGGTGCTGAGCCTGGGGGTGTGGAGACTGGGGGTGCTGAGCCTGGGGGTGCTGCCGGTGGGGGTGCTGAGCCTGGGGGTGCTGACACTGGGGGTACTGAGCCTGGGGGTGCTGACATTGGGGGTACTGAGCCTGGGGGTGCTGTGCCTGGGGTTACTGAGCCTGGGGGTGCTGCGCCTAGAGGCACTCTTTCTTCCTTGGAGCTGCGTGAGTGGTACTCTCGGTACTGCCGCCGCCACAGTGGTACTGTGGGAGCTGGGAGTACTGTTGACACTGGAGCTGAGGGCGCTGGAGCTCCTGGTGCTGGTGTGGCTGCCGACCCTGGGGTTGGCGCTGGAGGTGCTGGAGCTGCTGGGCCTGGAGGTGCTGCTGGAGCTACTGGAGGAGCGAGTGCTGCTGTGGCTGGAGGTGCAGGTGCTGACGGTGCTGCTAGAGCTGGTGCTGAGTCTGGGGGTGTTGCTGCTGGGGACACTTCGACAGGAGACCCTGGGACTACAGGTGCCGGCTCTGGGGGTGCTCCTGCTAGTGACGCTGGTCCTGGAGGTGCTGGAGCTGCTGGAGGTGGTGGAGCTGCTGGTGCTGGGGGCACTGCGCAGCCACGACTGTTCTTTGCTCCGCCGTCTCCGTCGTCTCTGCCACCGCCTGACTCTGCTCTTCGTCAGGTTCTTACCCTCCCGTCGTCTACTGGTCTTCCGTTACAGCCTGGCTCACCACTGCCTGCCCCTTCTCCTTACACTGAGCAGACAGGAGGTCTTGCTGAGCGTCGTGAGCCTGCGTCTCGTCCTGCGTCGCCCGTTCGCACTGCTCGCACTAGTCCTCGTGTCCCACGTCCGCGTCCTCCTCCTGTCCCTGGCACGCACCAGATGACACTTCGTCCGTCCACTGCTCCACAGCGTGTTCCACTGCCGTCCCCCCCTGCGTCTTCTCTGCCTGACGTTCCAGACCCTGAGTCTGACCGTGTACGTGCTGCTCACCCTACTGTCACGCGTCTCCTGGCCACTGTTGTCACTGACCCTTCCTTTGAGTCCGCTGCTGCGTCTGCCTTAGTTGCTGAGCTTGTCGACTTTGCTGCTCACTGTCGTCTAGACTACGCCGCGAGTCTAGTTGCTGAGTCTGAGTCTGTCTGTCCTCCGTCCGTCGGGGGTGAGTGTGCTCTTGACACGGACGTCCTTGAGGACAGGCAGGAGGAGTTTGAGTGCTTTGCCGCTGCTGTACCTCATCTCGTGTCCATGCTGATTGCACCTGAGGGAGACTCGGATGCACCAGACATCCCGACCCCGCGCTCTTACGCTGAGGCGATCGCGGGTGAGTACTCCTCTCAGTGGCAGACAGCCATGGACGCAGAGATGGCATCCTGGAAGTCCACTGGCACTTACGTCGACGAGGTTCCCCCTCCTGGGGCGAACATCGTCAGTGGCATGTGGATTTTCAGGGTGAAGCGGCCGCCAGGTTCTCCGCCTGTCTTCAAGGCTCGTTACGTTGCTCGAGGCTTCAGTCAGCGAGAGGGAGTTGACTTCTTCCAGACCTTCTCCCCCACCCCGAAGATGACCACTCTTCGGGTGCTGCTGCACGTTGCCGCTCACCGTGACTACGAGCTTCACTCTCTTGACTTCAGCACAGCTTTCTTGCAGGGCAGCCTGCACGAGGAGATCTGGCTGCGCCGCCCCCCGGGCTTCACTGGGTCGTTCCCTCCTGGTACCTAGTGGAGCCTCCGCCGGCCAGTCTACGGTCTCCGCCAGGCGCCTCGTGAGTGGCACGACACACTGAGGACTACACTTGCGGCACTTGGGTTTGCTCCCTCCACAGCTGACCCGTCGCTGTTTCTGCGCACCGACACTTCACTGCCGCCGTTCTACATCCTCGTGTACGTCGACGACTTGGTGTTTGCCACTGCGGACACTGAGGCTCTCGCCCACGTGAAGTCGGAGCTGCAGAAGAGACACACGTGCACAGACTTGGGTGAGCTGCGCAGCTACCTTGGCTTGCAGATCACCCGGGACAGAGCACGCCGCACCATCACCCTGACTCAGTCACACATGGTGCAGCAGGTCCTTCAGCGCTTCGGCTTCACCTGGTCCTCAGCACAGGCCACTCCTCTGGCTACAGGTCATTCGCTCTCAGCTCCACCTTCGGACGAGTCCGTAGAGCCGAGTGGTCCTTACCCAGAGCTAGTTGGCTGCCTCATGTACCTGATGACTTGCACTCGTCCTGACCTCGCGTACCCTCTTGGTCTTCTGGCTCGCTACGTGGCTCCTGGTCGACACCGACCTGAGCACATGGCTGCTGCTAAGAGGGTACTGCGCTACTTGTGCAGCACATCAGGCATGGGGCTAGTGCTTGGAGGGACGAGCCCAGTTGTTCTCACTGGGCACTCAGACGCTTCTTGGGTTGACAACCAGGCTACGAAGCGGTCGTCACAGGGTTACACCTTCAGCCTTGGCTCTGGTTCAGTTTCGTGGCGTTCTACACGCTCGTCTTCAGTTCTCAGCTCCAGTTGTGAGGCTGAGATCTACGCCACAGCCATGGCTGCACATGAGTTGCGCTGGCTCACCTACCTGCTGACTGATTTGGGAGAGCAGCCTCGTTCTCCTCCAGTGCTGTACGTCGACAACAAGGCCGTCATTGCCTTGTGTGAGGAGCACAGACTGGAGCACAGAACAAAGCACATCGCTCTGCGTTACTTCCTGGCTCGAGAGCTGCAGCAGCGTGGTCAGTTTCGTCTTGCACACGTGGCCACTAGGGCCAACACTGCTGATATATTCATCAAGGCACTTCCGTCTGGTGATCATCAGCGCTTTTGTACTTTGTTAGGCCTTGTGCCTACGATCACGTTTACAACTCTTCCCGTGCAATCAACCTCACACCCAATACAACATGACTATTGGTGACGTCAAACTCCATGCAATACATAATCGGCCCTGCTCGTCCATACAAAACGTCCGAAGGCCTAAAACAAAAAGGAATTGGATAACGAGCATGACATCAAATGCAAAGGCCACAACGTGGTAAAAGATTGTGTGCATATTGGATCTGAATGAAAGTGGGGCCGTAGGATGGATGGAGGAAATGAGAAAAGGACCAGGTGGGTATGGAACCCACAATCATTCTGATAGATTAGAGGATTGTGCTACTGGCCCTACATAAAAGGTCATCTTTAAATTTGATTTCTGAAATAATCATCGACCATTCAGCATTTGCCTTCCTTGTTCAACATCCAGCACAGAATCGCACATGGGTCGCGGAAAGCGCGAGGCGGAGGGCAATCGGAGCGGTGATGGAGGTCGGGGCAAATCGAAGCGTCACAAGTCGCGATACCTGAACGCTGTGAGCCTTTGGATTTATAACCCGACGCATTAGTAACCAAAAACCGCCACGCGTGTAACGATGCGTTCTGTGACCGAGAGACGAATAACGACGTTAATCAGCGACGATTCTCCAGGCGCGTTTCAGTCGCTTAGCAGTCGCGATTCACGGCAGCGTCCGTTCCGCGTCGCTGCTATGAGTTCGGCGGCGAGCGCGCACGAGTCCGATCCGCCCCACTTCCCCCTTTCCCCTTCCTCTTCCCCTTTCCCCTCACTTACCCCCTTCCCACGCACACCTCCGTCTGCTCTCCCTCACACTCGCCTCCTCCGCCCATCGTGTGTTCCCCGCGCCGCCTCCCTTCTCCAGTCCTTACAAGTGGGGCCTGGGCTGCCTCTCTTCTCCAATCCCCACAAGTGCGGCCTGGGCCTGCGCCGCTTCCCTTCTCCGGTTTTCCCTCTCTTTCATCCAGCAGCCTCGCCCGCGTATCTCCATTTCCCATGCACCCAAAATCCGTAACTTTCCGTTGCTTTCTCGCTCTCCTAGTGACAGCAGGCAGCAGCAGGCAGGGAGGGGGATTGCAGATGAATAATAATAAATAAATAATTAAGTTTCTTTCTTTACTCCTCGGTTGCCGCCCTGTTGAGCCAGACCAGAGCCAGGTGGCGGTGGGGGGGGCATAGTGAATGGCAGTGAGGAGACCGGCGGAACGAGGGAGAGCAGGTGATTTGAAAAAAATTCTCCCTTCGGCTCTTCCCATCCGCTCTTCCCATCTGCTCGTCTCCTCCCCCCCCTGCTGCTCCTCCTCACCCTTCTCCTCTCCCCCCCGTCTCCTCCTCCCCTTCTGCTCCTCCCCTTCTCCTCCTCCCCTTCTGCTCCTCCCCTTCTCCTCCTCCCCTTCTGCTCCTCCCCTTCTCCTCCTCCCCTTCTCCTCCTCCCCTTCTCCTCCTCCCCTTCTCCTCCTCCCCTTCTCCTCCTCCCCTTCTCCTCCTCCCCTTTTCCTCCTCCCCTTCTCCTCCTCCCCTTCTCCTCTTCCCCTTCTCCTCCTCCCCTTCTCCTCCTCCCCTTCTCCTCCTCCCCTTTTCCTCCTCCCCTTCTCCTCCTCCCCTTCTCCTCTTCCCCTTCTCCTCTTCCCCTTCTCCTCCTCCCCTTCTCCTCCTCCCCTTCTCCTCCTCCCCTTCTCCTCCTCCCCTTCTCCTCTCCCCTTCTCCTCCTCCCCTTCTCCTCTTCCCCTTCTCCTCCTCTCCTCCTCCCCTTCTCCTCTTCCCCTTCTCCTCCTCCTCCTCCCCTCTCCTCTTCCCTTCTCCTCCTCCCTGTACTGTTCCTCTCTTTTTCCTGCCCGCCTCTGCTTGTTCCAGAGAGGGGGGAGCGGGCACGATCTCGAATGGCAGCAAGGGGTGGCTGGTGTCGAGTGTGACTGGCAGGCAGGGGGAGTGGAGTGCGGGTCAAAATGATTCCTCCTCATCCTCTCCCTTCTCCTCCTCTCCCTTCTCCTCCTCTCCCTTCTCCTCCTCTCCCTTCTCCTCCTCTCCCTTCTCCTCCTCTCCCTTCTCCTCCTCTCCCTTCTCCTCCTCTCCCTTCTCCTCCTCTCCCTTCTCCTCCTCTCCCTTCTCCTCCTCTCCCTTCTCCTCCTCTCCCTTCTCCTCCTCTCCCTTCTCCTCCTCTCCCTTCTCCTCCTCTCCCTTCTCCTCCTCTCCCTTCTCCTCCTCCCTTCTCCTCCTCTCCCTTCTCCTCCTCTCCCTTCTCCTCCTCTCCCTTCTCCTCCTCTCCCTTCTCCTCCTCTCCCTTCTCCTCCTCTCCCTTCTCCTCCTCTCCCTTCTCCTCCTCTCCCTTCTCCTCCTCTCCCTTCTCCTCCTCTCCCTCTCCTCCTCTCCCTTCTCCTCCTCTCCCTTCTCCTCCTCTCCCTCTCCTCTCCTCTCCCCTTCTCCTCCTCTCTCCTTCTCCTCCTCTCCCTTCTCCTCCTCTCCCTTCTCCTCCTCTCCCTTCTCCTCCTCTCCCTTCTCCTCCTCTCCCTTCTCCTCCTCTCCCTTCTCCTCCTCTCCCTTCTCCTCTCCCCCTTCTGCTCCTCCCTCTTGTGCCCCTCAGAGCGGGGGAGGAGCGGGCCCTATCGCGAATGGCAACAGGGGGTGGTTGGTGTCGAGTGTGACTGGCAGGGAGAGGGAGTGCGGGCGAGTTGATGTTTGAGTCGAATCAAAATTATGTTCTCCCTTTTGTTCCTCCTCCTTCTGCGCCTCCCCCTCGTGCCCCTCCCCCTTCTGCTCTCCTCTCTTGTGCCCCTCAGAGCGGGGGGGGAGCGGGTCCCATAGCGAATGGCAGCAGGGGGTGGCTGGTGTCGAGTGTGACTGGCAGGGAGAGAGAGTGCGGGCGGGAGATCGTGAACGTGCTCGATGAGGTGAGGCGCACAGGGGATATGCGGGCTTAGGGTTTTGGGTGAAGGGGAGAGGGGTTATACAGGTGCTTCAGTCAGGGGGTGGCTGGCTGGCATCGAGTGTGACTGGCAGGGAGAGGGAGTGTGGGCGGGCGATTGTGAACGTGCTCAATGAGGTGATGCACGAGCACACAGTGAGGAGGGGGCGAGGTAAGAGGCGCAAGGTGTGTGACGGGCAGGGAGAGGGAGCCCGGGCGGGAGATATTCAACGTGCTTGAGGAGGTGAGGCGGCGAGGAGGTGAGGCGGCGAGGAGGTGAGGCGCAGAGGAGGTGAGTCGCAGAGGAGGTGAGGCGCAGAGGAGGTGAGGCGGCGAGGAGGTGAGGCGGCGAGGAGGTGAGGCCCAAGCACACAGTGAGGGGGGGCCGTTAAAGAGGTGCAAGGTTTTGGGGCAGGGAGAGGGAGCGCGGGCGGGAGATGTTCATCGTGCTTGTGGAGGTGAGGCGCACATGGGATCAGCTTGTGAGGTGAGGCGCACATGGGATCAGCTTGTGAGGTGAGGCGCACATGGGATCAGCTTGTGAGGTGAGGCGCACATGGGATCAGCTTGTGAGGTGAGGCGCACATGGGATCAGCTTGTGAGGTGAGGCGCACATGGGATCAGCTTGTGAGGTGAGGCGCACATGGGATCAGCTTGTGAGGTGAGGCGCACATGGGATCAGCTTGTGAGGTGAGGCGCACATGGGATCAGCTTGTGAGGTGAGGCGCACATGGGATCAGCTTGTGAGGTGAGGCGCACATGGGATCAGCTTGTGAGGTGAGGCGCACATGGGATCAGCTTGTGAGGTGAGGCGCACATGAGATCAGCTTGTGAGGTGAGGCGCACATGGGATCAGCTTGTGAGGTGAGGCGCACATGGGATCAGCTTGTGAGGTGAGGCGCACATGGGATCAGCTTGTGAGGTGAGGCGCACATGGGATCAGCTTGTGAGGTGAGGCGCACATGGGATCAGCTTGTGAGGTGAGGCGCACATGGGATCAGCTTGTGAGGTGAGGCGCACATGGGATCAGCTTGTGAGGTGAGGCGCACATGGGATCAGCTTGTGAGGTGAGGCGCACATGGGATCAGCTTGTGAGGTGAGGCGCACATGGGATCAGCTTGTGAGGTGAGGCGCACATGGGATCAGCTTGTGAGGTGAGGCGCACATGAGATCAGCTTGTGAGGTGAGGCGCACATGGAATCAGCTTGTGAGGTGAGGCGCACATGAGATCAGCTTGTGAGGTGAGGCGCACATGGGATCAGCTTGTGAGGTGAGGCGCACATGGGATCAGCTTGTGAGGTGAGGCGCACATGGGATCAGCTTGTGAGGTGAGGCGCACATGGGATCAGCTTGTGAGGTGAGGCGCACATGGGATCAGCTTGTGAGGTGAGGCGCACATGGGATCAGCTTGTGAGGTGAGGCGCACATGGGATCAGCTTGTGAGGTGAGGCGCACATGGGATCAGCTTGTGAGGTGAGGCGCACATGGGATCAGCTTGTGAGGTGAGGCGCACATGGGATCAGCTTGTGAGGTGAGGCGCACATGAGATCAGCTTGTGAGGTGAGGCGCACATGGGATCAGCTTGTGAGGTGAGGCGCACATGGGATCAGCTTGTGAGGTGAGGCGCACATGGGATCAGCTTGTGAGGTGAGGCGCACATGGGATCAGCTTGTGAGGTGAGGCGCACATGGGATCAGCTTGTGAGGTGAGGCGCACATGAGATCAGCTTGTGAGGTGAGGCGCACATGGAATCAGCTTGTGAGGTGAGGCGCACATGAGATCAGCTTGTGAGGTGAGGCGCACATGGGATCAGCTTGTGAGGTGAGGCGCACATGGGATCAGCTTGTGAGGTGAGGCGCACATGGGATCAGCTTGTGAGGTGAGGCGCACATGGGATCAGCTTGTGAGGTGAGGCGCACATGGGATCAGCTTGTGAGGTGAGGCGCACATGGGATCAGCTTGTGAGGTGAGGCGCACATGGGATCAGCTTGTGAGGTGAGGCGCACATGGGATCAGCTTGTGAGGTGAGGCAGCAAGGAGGTGAGTGAGGCGTACAGGCAAATAATAGACCCTGATTGTGAATGTGTGTTGGGGGGGTTTAAGGCTAAGGTCTCGCAATCAGTGTACCAAGTTGAAAAAAACATGGGGGGTCTGTGTTTCTTTTTAACCGAAACAACGGTATCATATAAAACAGTCGTTTGAAACAGTTGTTTTGGTGCATGTTTCCCCACTGTGGCACTGAGAAAGGCTGGGGAGGTCTTATCTGACTGAGCTGATGTTGCTTCTCTGCCATCCGTCTCCCCTGCTCGCCCCACTCACAGTGGTGCATCAAGCTGCTGCCTGGCAAGGCGCAGGGGGAGGAGGAGGCACGGACTGGAGAAGGTGGCTGGGGAGGGCAGCAAGCTGCTTATCTGACTGAGCTGATATTGCTTGTTCTCCTTCCATCTCTCCTGTTCGCCCCACACACAGTGGTGAGGGTAGAGGCTGGCAAGGCACAGGGGGAGGGGGAGGCAGGCACTGGGAAGGTGGGTGGGGAGGGCCTATCCCACTGAGCTATTGTTGGTTTTTCTCCTTCCCTCTCCCCTGCTCGCCCCACTCACAGTGGTGCGATAAGCTGGACGCCGGCAAGGTGCAAGGGGCGGGGGAGGGGGAGGCAAGGACTGGGGAAGGCACATCTGCAGGGAAGGTGAAGGGAGGGTCGTCCATTGATGCCCTGCTGGCGAACGAAGTGGCTTCGCTCAAGAAACAGGTGCGTGTGTTAAGAAGATGGAGGGAATGGAGGGGAGGCCGAAGGGGGGGCGATTGCCCATTGCTGCCCTGCTGGCGAACGAAGTGGCTTTGGTTAAGAAACAGGTGCGCATGGGGAGGGGTTGGGGAAGCAGGTGCGTGTGCGTCAAGGGAATGGGGCGTGGGGAAGGCGAAGGGAGAGTCGTCCATCGAATCGATGCCCTGTTGGCCAATGAAGTCGATCCATCTCACTTCGTGAGTGTTGATTGAGCCTGGCTGCAAGGCAAGGCACTACTGTTTTCGAAAATGCTAAGTGGGAATCTGTCTGTATCGCTCCTCCTCTCTCTCCCATCGTCTTTCTCCCTCCCCTTTTCTCCTTCACCTTCTCCCTCCCCTTCTCCCTCATCTTGCTGCTCCCCTCCCCCTCAGCCTCAGTTCATGAGTGTGGATTCTGGCTGCAAGGCGCTGCTGTTTGTGACAATGCTCAGTGGAAATCCCCATCGCTCCTCCTCTCCCTCCCTCGTCTTTCTCCCTCCCCTTACCCCTGCCGTTCGCCCTCCCCTTGCCCCTACCATTCGCCCTCCTCTTGGCATTTCTCAGCCTCGGTTTGTGAGTGTGGAGTCTGGCTGCAAGGCGCTGCTGTTCGTGAGGATTAGAGAGGAAGCCAGGAAGGGGGGGAAGGGTGAGAAGGGAAGAAAGCAGTTGGAGGAGGGAGAGGAGAAGGAGGGTGAGAAAGAGGAGGTGGGGACGAAGGAGGAAGGGGAAAAGGAGAAGGGTGAAGGAGACAAGGAGGGGAAGGAGGGAGATAAGGGCGGGGAGCAGGAGAAAGAGCAGGAGGAAGGGGCAGGAGGAGGAGGAGAGAAGGAACCAGAGAAGGAAGAACGGGGAGGGGAGGGGGAGAAAGGGGAGGCTGGGGGGGAACACGGAAGGGTATCGCCGTGTGAGTTGGCAGAGGCAGTGTTGCGGCATGCCAAGGCCACCCAACAGTCAGCCACTCGGTGGGTGTGAGGCTAGTTGAGTTGCGGCATGGGATGAGAGACAAGGAGAGGGCGAAAGGTGGGAGAGAACGGAGGGGATGAGTGTGTGAGTTGGCAGAGGCGGTATTGCGGCAGGTCAAGGAGACTCAGCAATCGGCCACTCGGTGGGTGTGAGGCGGCCACTCAGCAATCGGCCACTCGGTGGGTGTGAGGTGGCCACTCAGCAATCGGCCACTCGGTGGGTGTGAGGCGGCCACTCAGCAATCGGCCACTCGGTGGGTGTGAGGCGGCCACTCAGCAATCGGCCACTCGGTGGGTGTGAGGCGGCCACTCAGCAATGGGGTGCATGTGAACCTGTGGGTCACTCGTGCGTGTGAGTTGGCAGAGGCAGTGTTGAGGCATGCCAAGGCCACCCCACCCAGCTGTCAATAACTCGGTGCGTGCAGGGCGTTGGGAGCAGAGCAGGGCAGTCAGCGCGAGACGGTGAGTGCGAGTCGACTCAGTTGATGTTGCTTCTGAGAAATCTCAAAAGGGTGCGAGTCGACTCAACAGTCAGCTCGCCCGCCTGCTGCCAGTGGAAGTCACGTCTCACGCCTCCCAGGAGGAGCAACCCTGCAGAGCCACTCAGCCTCTCCACCCTTCTCCCCTGTGCTCCCATTCACCTACCCATCTTCACCCTCCTCCTGCTGCCCTCCATTCACCTACCCATCTTCACCCTCCTCCTGCTGCCCTCCATTCACCTACCCATCTTCACCCTCCTCCTGCTGCCCTCCATTCACCTACCCATCTTCACCCTCCTCCTGCTGCCCTCCATTCACCTACCCATCTTCACCCTCCTCCTGCTGCACTCCATTCACCTACCCATCTTCACCCTCCTCCTGCTGCCAGTGGAAGTCACGTCTCACGCCTCCCAGGAGGAGCAACCCTGCAGAGCCACCCACTCAGACTCCTCTCCCTTCTCCTTTGCCCTCCATTCAACTCTCCAGCTTCACCCTCCGTCTGCAGCAAGTGAAATCGACTTGCTACGCTTCGCATTCACCTTTCGAATATTTGCCATTCAGCCTACCCCTCTCCTTCCTCCCCTGTGCACAATCAACCCCCTGCTGCCCTCCATTCACCTCCCCCATCTTCACCTTCCGTCTGCTGCCAGTGGAAACCACGTGCTACGCCTCCCAGGAGAAACAACCTGCGTAGCCACTCCTTCTCCCCTGCGCACCATTCAAACCTCCCCTCCACCCCCACCCCACCTCCGCAGCTTCACCCTCCGTCTTCTGCCAGTGGAAACCACGTGCTACGCCTCCCAGGAGGAGATTGGGAGAGCATGTATCCTCTCCCGCTGCCTTTTGCCAACCCGCCTCCTCTCCTTCTCGCCTCTGCACCATTCAACCCTCCCCTTCCCCTTCCCAGTTTCACCCTCCGTCTGCTGCCAGTGGAAACCACGTGCCAGGCTTGTCAGGAGGAACCCTACAGAGCCATTCAGACTTCTCTCCCTTTTTCCCTGCGCACCATTTACAACCCCCCTCCCCACCCACCCCTTGCCCCCACCTCCCCAGCTTCACCCTCCGCCTGCTGCCAGTGGAAACCACCTGCTACGCCTCCCAGGAAAAACCTTACTGATTCCTCTCCCTTCACCCTCCTTCCGCTTCCCCCTTCCCACCTCCCTAGCTTCACCCTCCGCCTGCTGCCAGCGGAAACCACATGCTACGCCTCCCAGGAAAAACCTTACTGATTCCTCTCCCTTCACCCTCCTTCCGCTTCCCCCTTCCCACCTCCCCAGCTTCACCCTCCGCCTGCTGCCAGTGGAAACCACCTGCTACGCCTCCCAGGAAAAACCTTACTGATTCCTCTCCCTTCACCCTCCTTCCGCTTCCCCCTTCCCACCTCCCCAGCTTCACCCTCCGCCTGCTGCCAGTGGAAACCACCTGCTACGCCTCCCAGGAGGAGATTGGGAGAGCATGTATCCTCTCCCGCTGCCTTTTGCCAACCCGCCTCCTCTCCTTCTCGCCTCTGCACCATTCAACCCTCCCCTTCCCCTTCCCAGTTTCACCCTCCGTCTGCTGCCAGTGGAAACCACGTGCCAGGCTTGTCAGGAGGAACCCTACAGAGCCATTCAGACTTCTCTCCCTTTTTCCCTGCGCACCATTTACAACCCCCCTCCCCACCCACCCCTTGCCCCCACCTCCCCAGCTTCACCCTCCGCCTGCTGCCAGTGGAAACCACCTGCTACGCCTCCCAGGAAAAACCTTACTGATTCCTCTCCCTTCACCCTCCTTCCGCTTCCCCCTTCCCACCTCCCCAGCTTCACCCTCCGCCTGCTGCCAGTGGAAACCACCTGCTACGCCTCCCAGGAAAAACCTTACTGATTCCTCTCCCTTCACCCTCCTTCCGCTTCCCCCTTCCCACCTCCCCAGCTTCACCCTCCGCCTGCTGCCAGTGGAAACCACCTGCTACGCCTCCCAGGAGGAGATCGCCTCGGCCATCAAGCCTCTCATTGCCGCCCACTTCCCCCCCATTGGCCAATCAGCAAGCGACACGTCAGAGGCCCAACCCAAGGGATCAACGGTACGCATGCCTATGGTCGCTTGGTAGGGAGTTCCTGTATCGCGATAGGTCACTGTTCATCGTCAGTACAGCCTTGCTCCCGTTCTTTCCGCTGCAAGGTGTGTGTGTTCAGGCTTTAAGGCTTTGATGCTTAGATGCCCACGCCCTTTTTTAAGTCGACTCAAACAGGTGTGTGTTGATGACCACATGATCCCTATAGGCGCACATCCCCCCTATGCACATCCTCCCTATAGGCTCACAACACATCCCACCCATTATTTGCGTCCTGTGCACTTAGTCATCATAAAACCAAAAGGTAAACAGGAAAATCAGAAAATGAGGTCTGCATGGGTTGATGAAGCGCAAACCAGTGAGAAAATTCTTCACTTGTTTAAACTGCACATCACTAATACCAACGCCGGTTCTATTTTTACCTATGATATTCTTCCTCTGAGGTTTACTTTCCAGTTTGCACAGCTTGAAATTCTGGTCGATACAGAGCTTGACCCTGGAGTCGACTCAAAAGACACTTGAAATTCTGGTCGATACAGAGCTTGACCCTGGAGTCGACTCAAAAGACACTTGAAATTCTGGTCGATACAGAGCTTGACCCTGGAGTCGACTCAAAAGACACTTGAAATCCTGGTCGATACAGAGCTTGACCCTTGAGTCGACTCAAAAGACACTTGAAATTCTGGTCGATACAGAGCTTGACCCTGGAGTCGACTCAAAAGACACTTGAAATTCTGGTCGATACAGAGCTTGACCCTGGAGTCGACTCAAAAGACACTTGAAATTCTGGTCGATACAGAGCTTGACCCTGGAGTCGACTCAAAAGACACTTGAAATTCTGGTCGATACAGAGCTTGACCCTGGAGTCGACTCAAAAGACACTTGAAATTCTGGTCGATACAGAGCTTGACCCTGGAGTCGACTCAAAAGACACTTGAAATTCTGGTCGATACAGAGCTTGACCCTGGAGTCGACTCAAAAGACACTTGAAATTCTGGTCGATACAGAGCTTGACCCTGGAGTCGACTCAAAAGACACTTGAAATTCTGGTCGATACAGAGCTTGACCCTGGAGTCGACTCAAAAGACACTTGAAATTCTGGTCGATACAGAGCTTGACCCTGGAGTCGACTCAAAAGACACTTGAAATCCTGGTCGATACAGAGCTTGACCCTTGAGTCGACTCAAAAGACACTTGAAATTCTGGTCGATACAGAATTTGACCCTGGAGTCGACTCAAAAGACACTTGAAATCCTGGTCGATACAGAGCTTGACCCTTGAGTCGACTCAAAAGACACTTGAAATTCTGGTCGATACAGAGCTTGACCCTGGAGTCGACTCAAAAGACACTTGAAATTCTGGTCGATACAGAGCTTGACCCTGGAGTCGACTCAAAAGACACTTGAAATTCTGGTCGATACAGAGCTTGACCTTTTCCTTGCATGCTTACCTCTGTTCATCCTCTCTCCCCTGAAAGCCCCTATCAAACTCACTCTGCTTTCCCTTTGTACTTTTTTTGTGCGACCAACCTGTTTGCAACTAGCTTATGGAAGCGGCACAATGACAGCCTTGACCTTTCCCTTCTAGGTTCAGTGTGCATCCTCTTTTATGGCTCACCTTGCATTCCTTGACATGCTTCCTCTTCCCTGTACAGTTCGTAGTCATAATTGAAAGCGAGCCAAGGAAGGGCTTGATCTTTCTCTTCTGGGTTCAGCATACATCCTCTTTATAGTCGCCCCTTGCGTCCCGTTACATGCTTTCTCTTTCCTGTACAGTTCGGAATCATATTTGAGAAGCGAGCCAACGAAGGGCTTGAGAGAGCAGGCGTGATTGACACTGTAGCCAAGCTGGTGCCTGCTCCGCATAAAGTGGACCTCCGGAACCCAGACAAGACCATCATGCTGCAAGTGGTGAAGGTATGACATGCATGCATGCGTGCGCCATGCTGTGTGCGCATGCATCATGCGGTCAGCTCATGTACCACACTGTGTGTTTATTGATCGTGATGGTATGGTATATCAATCCGGTGCTCAACATACAAAAGCAATCATGCTGCACGTGGTGAAGGCATGACATGCATACAAGCGTGCACCGCGCTTTGTCTTTATTGATCGTGATGGTATGGTATATCAAGCTGGTGCCTGCTGGTGCCTGCACCGCTTAGTGTGCATGTCAGCGAATCAGACAAGCCCATCATGCTGCAAATGGTGAAGGTACGACATGCACACATGCATGCACCATGCTGTGTGTTTATCAATCGTGGTATGGTATTGCTGCTGCCTGCTCTGCATAGAGTGGATCTCCTCCCTCCTGACAATTCATCATGCTGCAAGTGGTGAAGATATGGCGTGTATGCATGTTGTGTGTTCATTAACCATGGTATGCCAAGCTGGGGCATGTACCCCTTTTTGTGGACTTCAACAACTTGGGCAAGACCATCATGCTGCAAATGGTGAAGGTATGACATCCGTGCATGCGTGTAAAAGGCTGTAAATTCATGAACATATGGTGTGCCAATCTGGTGCCTGTACCCCATATATCTGGTTGTGTGCGAGTAATGAAGAAGTTTTTGTTTTTGTTGGCTTCATTGCATTGCAGCCTTACATTCCTCAGCAGCTGTATTTGGTATGCATTGGCAGTTATTCTAAAATCGTGCTTTTTTTTTTTCCCCAGGAATGTGGTTTCGTGGTGTAGTTGGTTATCACGTCAGTCTAACACACTGAAGGTCTCATCAAGTCCGGGCGAAGTCATTTTTTAATGGAGTTCGATCCAATCAAGTTTTCCAGGCTGTCCAATGTCATTCACATTTTCCTTCTTGCTCCCCTCTGCCCTCTCTCTTACTCAACTCATTATCTCAATGTCCCCCATTCCACCCCTCCACTCCCTCTCTCTACCCCAGACCATCCTTTTCATCTCCATCCTCGCAGACTTTAAGGCCCTTGTCAAGTACAACGCGCCAGTTGTGCCTCCCCCAGGAGGAACCCAAGCCTGGTGCTGCTGGGGAAGCCAAGCCAAGCCTCCCTCGCTCACATTCTCTCGGTTTCCCCTATTCCAACTCTCCGTTCCCTCTCTTCCCCATGCCATCTGTTTGCCAAGTGCACAATGTTTACCCCATATTACTCCTTCCCCCCTCCCCCTGCCCACCCCACCCTGTTCGCTCCCTCCCTCCCTCTCCCCCAGACCATCTGTTTCATCTCCATCCTCACCGATTTCAAGGCCCTCGCCAAGTACAACCTGCGCCAGTTGTGCCTCCCCCAGGAGGATGCCAAGCCCGGTGCTGCTGGGGAAGCAAAGCCTGCTGCTGCTGGGGAAGCGAAGCCTGATGATGCTGCTGATGCTAGTGCTAGTGATGACGAGGGTGATGGTAATGCTGGTGAGGACTGAACAGGCTGCTTCTGGGAATTAAGCTAAATCTGGAACCAGTTAGTAGTAGTAAGGATGATGATAGTGCTTGCAACCCATAAAAAATTAACAGTATCCGAGCACAACGAAATGATACTGGTATTTGCATGGTAATCTTAAAGGAACGGTAAAAGGTTCATTGTGGCAGGTGCCCCTGCAGTCCCACCCGATATTGTTCCAGCGGCCCCATCTGCTGCCTATTGCACCAAACCAGGAGCTGCCGCTTCTGTAGCGTGGCCCTTCCTGGTGCTTCTGCAGCCCCGTCGGCAGCACTTGTCATTCCCGCTGAGGATCCTGCTGCCCCTTCTTCAGCCTCTCCTATGGCCTCTGCCACCCCTGCTGCAGCCTCCGCCGCTCTTGCTGCGATCTCTCTGCTGCCCCTGCTGTGGCATTTGCCGCCCCTGCTGTGGCCACTGCCGTCCTGCTGTGGCCACTACCGCCCTGCTGTCGCCACTGCCGCCCCTGCTGTGGCCACTGCTGCCCCTGCTGTGGCCTCTGCCACCCATGCTGTCGCTTGCGCCGCCCCTGCTGCCACTACTGTCTGGCCCCTGCTGCCCATGCATGCAGCCCTATGCCCTGCAGCTCCTTCAGCCCCACTTGCTGCGATCCCTACCGACTTAGGAGCTGCCGTCCCAGCAGCGGATCCAGCTACCCTACAATACATGTTACAAAAACATAATGAATAATACCACAAATTACAGCATTCGTGACTCCATGGCCCAATGGATAAGGCGCTGGTCTACGGAACCAGAGATTCTGGGTTCGATCCCCAGTGGAGTCGGCAGTTACTGATCGGAAGATTAGTGTGGACGCTCTTTTCTGGCTTCGGCTTTTTTTTTTTTTGTATATTTACGTGAAGCTGATTGTTTCCGAATGTAAGGAAACTTTTAAGATTCCTTACCACGCACCACCAGAACGCGTATAACGCTCGACCGTTCTTCGCCGGTTACAGCCTTAACGGTGTTTACCACATCTCGCGTGACATTTACCAAACCACTCACTGCTAGACTTGGTCGAGGCTGCCTACGCTTCGGGACTAGCCCGAACCTCGCTGCCAGCATCGAACTAGCTAGCTCACAACGTACTCGTTTGACCCTTCAGTGCACTCCTTGCTCGCTCTTTCAATTGCACTCATAACACGAAACTGTACTACCACACGTATGAAAAAGGTTTGTATCTGCCTGACGAGCGGAACAAGTGGAGTGGAATTCAGTTCAACTTTTGATCAAGCGGGCATTCAGTCCCACCCAAACGAAAATCGTGAAGTGGAACAAGTTTGACTAGTACTCGCAAGAAGTTACCCCGGCGCCCTACGACATCGAGGTAAAAATCGGCAACCGTCACTCACAAAAATGACACGGAAGGAAACTCGGCATGCAACAATCAACAGAATTGAATCCCTCTGGCGAGACTCCAAAGCAAAACCAGCACTACAGCATAATTATATCTCGTAGATATTAGAAGGCTCGGGTGTTATTGAACCAAATATTAGTACATGTTAAGGCTATCTGATGACACGCAAAATTTTGCATACAAATCCCACCCGTAGCTATAGCTACTCTACCAATTCGCGTTGCCGCCTTACTGTACCTATGACTAGAAAGCACCATTCTAGTGCCTATTGCATAAGTCATGCGTCTCCCACTGCTGTGAAGAGACGCACTGGCGCTGGCACACTCTAATTTCCAGTCTTGATGAAGAACTATTCGTAACCCTGTTCAAAGTGGAGAAGCACGTCTTCCATTATAGTGACAATCGACTTTACAGTCTCGATGAAGAACTATTCATACCCTGTTCAAAGTGGAGAAGCACGTCTTCCATTAATGGCTTGCACAAGTGTCTCACGCCAGCTACTGAGTCCCAAGCTCCAAGTGGCAATGGTACTTACTCGCTTGGGGCACGACTGGTCATGACGGATGCTTGGCATCCACTCTTATGTAAGCCGACACGTGACTATGGTGGCGTGTGATGAATATTAGACCCAAGTCATGTACAAGCTCGAGCCATTGTAGGTGCAATAGCCTACCAAACAAGCGATTTTGCGGACGAAACACAACTTCATTCGCCTTGGTGGAATCCTCGATGTCGTAGGTGTACTAGTTGATCACATTGGTGACTACGAGGTGCTTCAGCAGGAAGGAGACGTGCCTGCTTTGCAATGCTGTTCACCCACCATCGGTGCTCGTCACACAGAGTGCCGGCCCTTAGATGAATCCCAAGACATCAGGGCTCGATGTTGTGCAGGACGCAACTGGCCCCATGAGTCCGTAGCACCTTGTTTGAACGTGATTGCATCACGCTATTGATGATCCTATATTTCCCTTTCAAGCTTCAATTTATCTGTTCCATTATTATTCGCGCCCTACTTTGCCGTTTGTTGAAGATAGCCTCGGCATTGCTCAGGATCCTGCATTTAGGTACTTTTTAGGGTGGTAGCAGATATCTAATATGGGATAGGTCGCGTTTGTTACAATCATGCTTCCGTGTCATTCTCCTTCCTCAGTGCGTTGGATTGTTGTTGTTCCACACCCTGCCAGTATCTGCTCGCAAGGTGGGTGCATTCCCACTCGACCATGACTCGACCAAGTATCAGGTGACTTCCTCAAAACGATCACGCATACGATTAACCACAACGCTTATAGTGGATTTCATGCTTTTAAACATTGCGTTTGCAATGGTCGCGTCTGGCCCGCCCATATCCAGCCCCACTAATCACCCCGTGCTGCGTATTGGCACCGCTGTTGCAGGAGGCGCCCTCTGTCTGAATCCCAGTTACTAGCCACTGGGATAAAAGAGCTTGTTTGTGTAGCGGGTGAGTGCGCCCATAACCCCCTCACGCCGCCGTGCCTGTAACCCATCCCTAGGATCAATCGGGGATCTCCAGTGGACCTCTGACACCCCCCCGCACTGGGATGCCCGAGGTGCACACACCGGGATTCGAACCCGTTCGCTCTGATACCATGTCAGAATCCCAGTCACTAACCACTGGGATAAAAGGGCTTGTTTGTGTAGCGGGTGAGTGCGCCCATAACCCCCCAGGCCGCCGTGCCTGTAACCCTTCCCTAAGATCAATCGGGGATCTCCAGTGGACCTCTGACACCCTCGCCCTAGTCGTGAAACTCAGACTCCCTCGGCGTCAGGAGCTTGTTGACAAAACTACTGGGGACGTGGAGGCAGCAGGGCGGCTTAACGGTGGGCTTGGCAGAAGGGATCAACCATAGTGCTGCGTGGCACCCCCCAGTGATGGAGCCGCTACAAGTGGCGGCGGCACAAATTTTGGCATTCACACTTGCTTCGCCTTGAAATGGGTTTGCCCCACATGCACGTGCACCGAGACGATGGGACCTGATGGGCCTGATCACGATGGGTGTTGCTGGGGTGGTACCTGTAAGAGGGATAGGGCAGAGATTTGTAGGCGATGGGTTAGGACTAATAGGGGTTCAAGACTAGACTGTACCTAGTATAGTACAATAGTTATGGGTTTATACCAAGTTATGGGAATCATTGATATTTAGAGTAC